GCCTGTAATCCTAACACTGGGAGGCTGTGGTGGGCTGATCACCTGAGGTCAGGAGTATGAAACAAGCTTAGCCAACATGGTGAAACCATGTCTTTGCTAAAAATATTAAAAATAAAATAAAATGTTTACAATGTTGCCTATTGTATATGTATGTTTGTATTAGCCCTTTTTTTTTTTTTGAGACGGAGTTTCACTCTTGTTACCCAGGCTGGAGTGCAATGGCATGATCTCCGCTCACCACAACCTCCGCCTCCTGGGGTCAAGCAATTCTCCTGCCTCAGCCTCTTGAGTAGCTGGGATTACAGGCACACACCACCATGCCCAGCTAATTTTTTGTATTTTTAGTAGAGACGGGGTTTCACCATGTTGACCAGGATGGTCTCGATCTCTTGACTTCGTGATCCACCCGCCTTGGCCTCCCAAAGTGCTGGGATTACAGGCATGAGCCACTGCACCCGGCCAAAAAAAAATTTTTTTTTTAATCAACAAGAGCTTGTTATGTTGCTCAGGTTGGCCTTGAACTCATAGCCTCGCCTCCTCAAGCGCCAGGACAACTGGCCGGAGCCACCGTGGCTCCCTTCTTTTTTTTTTTTTTTTTTTTTTGAGACAGTCTCGCTCTGTCGCCCAGGCTGGAGTGCAGTGGTGCCATCTCAGCTCACTGCAACCTCTGCCTCCTAGGTTCAAGCAATTCTCTTGCCTCAGCCTCCTCAGTAGCTGGGATTCCAGGCACCTGCCACTAGGCCCAGCTAATTTTTTTTTTTTTTTTTTTTTTTTTTTGAGACGGAGTTTCGCGCTTGTTACCCAGGCTGGAGTGCAATGGCGCGATCTCGGCTCACCGCAACCTCTGCCTCCTGGGTTCAGGCAATTCTCCTGCCTCAGCCTCCCGAGTAGCTGGGATTACAGGCACGCGCCACCATGCCCAGCTAATTTTTTGTATATTTTTTAGTAGAGACGGGGGTTTCACCACGTTGACCAGGATGGTCTCGATCTCTTGACCTTGTGATCCACCCGCCTTGGCCTCCCAAAGTGCTGGGATTACAGGCTTGAGCCACCGCGCTCGGCCAATTTTTTTTTTTTTTTTAAGTACAGACAGGGTTTGACCATATTGGCCAGGCTGGTCTCAAACTCCTGACCTTAGGTGAGCCCCTGCTTCAGCTTCCAAAGTGCTGGAATTACAGGCGTGAGCCACCACACCTGGCCTATATTTGCTTTTTAAAGTATAACACTATCTCGAAAAGGAGACAAGGAAGAGATTAAAAAACGCTGTATCCCAAGAGTGGAATCCGGTGACTGGAAATCAGAATGAGAGGAAAGCTTTGCTGCATTTGAGTTGTGAACCAGGTGAACAAAATATTCACAAATAAGTATACAATTTAAATAAATCCTTAGTAAGGGTTCTGGGCCAGGTGTGGTGGCTCATGCCTATAATCCCAGCACTCTTAGCCCAGGAGTTGGAAATCAGCCTGGGCAACATGGTGAAACACTTGTCTCTATAAAAAATAATAAATACAAATTTTAAAATAACATAAAGAAGATTTCTCTTTTGTTCAGCTGCATCCTGTTCCTGGCAGGGGCTTCACCCCTGCAGGCAGCCCCTCTCCTGCATGACCAGCATGTCTGCCCTGAAGGCTCCTTCCTCAGCCCTCAAACTTCCTCCATTCCCCAATTTTTTTTTTTTTTTTTTTTTTTTTGAGACAGAGTCTCACTCTGTTGCCCAGGCTGGAGTGCAGTGGCATATTCTCGGCTCACTGCAACCTCTGCCTCCCGAATTCAAGGGATTCTCCTGCCTCAGCCTGCCAGGTAGCTGGGATCACAGGCATGCACCACCATGCTCAGCTCATGTTTGTATTTTTAGGAGAGACGGGGTTTCACCATGTCAGTCAGGCTGGTCTTGAACTCCTGACCTCAAGTGATCCGCCCGCCCCAGGCTCCCAAGGTGCTGGGATGACAGGAGTGAGCCACGCGCCTGGCCCCCTGCTTCTTTAACAGACACTTCCCTGATGCTGCACCCCCTAAAGCCCTGCCCATTCCCAGTGCTCCTCGGGGCTGCTCTGGAAGGAGCAGTTAGTTTCCTCTTTGGTTGACGCTGCCTTGGCTCCCATCCCCACCAAGCCCAGACTTGTGTCTGTACCACTTCTCCCCTGAAATCGCTGTCTCCAAGTTCATGGGTGACCTCATGTGGACTGGCAGTGGACGCCTCCGTCCTTGGCAGGAGGCAGGGGTGTCCCTCCCTGACACCCTGGCTCTCCACACTCTACCCCTTTTCTGCCAGCTCGCACACCTTACCTTTCCTGTCTCCTTTGCTGGCTTGATCTTGGGACCCCTCTTCTCTTCTATGCCACCCCTTCGGTGATTTCCACCAGTTCCATGACTTCGAGTGTGTCTATGTACCCCACGTAGACAATTCTATCCCTGGTCGGAATATTCAGCTGCCTACTTGGCATTAAAGATGAATAGATGCCAAGCACAGCGGCTCATGCCTGTAATCCCAGCATGCGGGAGGCCAAGGCAGGAAGAGGGCTTGAGCCCAGGATGTCAAGGCTGCCGTGAGCTGTGATTGCACCACTGCCCTCCATCCAGCCTGGGCGGCAGAGCAAGACCTTGTCTCTTAAAAAAAAAAAAAAAAAAAGTGGCCAGGCACCGTGGCTCATGCCTGTCATCCCAGCACTTTGGGAGGCTGAGGTGGGCAGATCATGAGGTCAGGAAATTGAGACCATCCTGGCTAACACGGTGAAACCCTTCTACCAAAAATACAACAATTAGCCAGGTGTGGTGGTGGGCACCTGTAATCCCAGCTACTAGGGAGGCTGAAGGCAGGAGAATTGCTTGAACCTGGGAGGCAGAGGTTGCAATAAGCTGAGATCACACCACTGCACTCCAGCCTGGGTGACAGGGAGACTCCATCTCAAAAAAAAAAAAAAAGCCCAAACCCATAACTCTGGCCATTCTCCTCCTACCATTTGACATGGATGCCAAACAGGGAGGATAAACCTATAAATTATCACCCAAATATGAAGATTTCTTCTTTCTTTTAATAGAAACCGAGTCTTGCTCTGTTTCCAGGCTGGTCTCCAGTCCTCCCCGCTCAGCCTCCCAAAGTGCTGGGATTACAGGCATGAGCCACCCCACCTGGCTAACACAGACATGTCTAAGAGCTAAAAGGAGGGTTGTTGGTTTTTTTTTTTTTTTTTTTTTTGAGACAGGGTTTTGCTCTGTCACCAAGACTGGAGTGTGGTGATGTAATCACGGCCCACTGCAGCCTCAACTTCCCAGGCTCAAACGATTCTTCCTCCTTAGCCTCCTGAGTAGCTAGGACCACAGGCATGCGCCACCATGCCCACCTAATGTTTTTGTATTTTTGGTAGTGACAGGGTCTCACCTTGTTGCCCACACTGGTCTTGAACTCCTGAGCTCAGTTATCCTCCTCTCAAAGTGCTGGGATGACAGGCATGAGCCACCGTGCCCAGTCAGCAGGGGTTCTATTAGTTAAGCTAAAACCACAGACACAACTTGAGCTGTCCTGCACAAGCTGGGATGTGTGATCATCCTGTATTAGTGCGGCGTGTCCACCATCACATGCCCACATGACATCCTCAGTGCACTCTAAAATCTGCCCCCACTCTTCTCCCCATCTCAGTAAAAGGCACTGGTACCTACCCATTTCCTTTTTCTTTTTTTGAAATGGAGTCTTGCTCGTTACCTAGGCTGGAGTGCAATGGCGTGATCTCAGCTCACCATAACCTCCACTTCCTGGGTTCAAGCAATTCTCCTGCCTCAGCCTCCCAAGTAGCTGGGATTACAGGCGCGTGCCACCACAACTGCCTAATTTTGTATTTTTAGTAGAGACGGCGTTTCTCCATGTTGATCAGGCTGGTCTTGAACTCCTGACCTCAGATGATCCGCCCACCTCAGCCTCCCAAAGTGCTGGGATCACAGGTGTGAGCCACCACGCCCAGCCCCTACCTCCCGATTTTCTCAAGACAAAAGCACAGAAATTTAAATAATAAATCCCACGGTCCTAGAGTGTCTCTCATCTCCCACACAATCTATCCACACATGTTATCATATTGATGTGCAAAATGCATCTGAATTCCTACCGGCTTCCCCCATTTCCGCAGCCAGCACCCTCGGCCGCGCCCCTAAGTCTCTTGCCTGTTCCCACCTTTGACCTTGTCCAGTTTGTTCTCCCAGAGCTTGGCTCAGATCACCACACTCCACAATTAAAAGCCTTTTGTGGCTGGGCACGTGGCTCATGCCTGTAATCCCAGCACTTTGGGAGGCTGAGGTGGGTGAATCATTTGAGGTCGGGAGTTTGAGACCAGCCTGGCCAACAGGTGAAAACCCATCTCTACCAAAAATACAAAATTAGCTGGGCGTGGAGGCATGTGCCTATAATCCCAGCTATTCAGGAGGCTGAGGCAGGAGAATCACCTGAACATGGGAGGTGGAGGGAGGTTGCAGTGAGCTAAGATCATGCCATTGTACTCCAGCCTGGCAACAGAACAAGACTCCGTCTCAAAAAAAAAAAAAAAAGCCTTTGAATTAATGAACTATCACCATCCACAATAACACAGATGAGTCTCACAAGCATAAGGTTGAATGATAGAAGCCAGGCATTAGAGAGCATGGACTGTATGAATCCTTTATAGAAAGTTCAGGCCGGGTGCGGTGGCTCGCGCCTGTAATCCTAGCACTTTGGGAGGCTGAAGCAAGAAGCAAGATTCCATGCCAGGTCTCTCCGACTTCCAGGCACTCACCTGAGGTCAGGAGTTTGAGACCAGCCTGACCAACATGGAGAAACTCTGTCTTTACTAATAATACAAAAATTGGCCGGGCGTGATGGTGCATGCTTGTAATCCCAGCTACTCGAGACAGAGGCATGAGAATTACTTGAACCAGGAGGTGGAGGATTGTGAGGAGCTGAGATAGTGCCATCATACTCCAGCCTGGGCAACAAGAGTGAAACTCAGTCTCAAAAAAAAAAAAAAGTCCAAAAAGAGGTGCTCACCATGGCAGCACATACACTGTCATTGGAGTGATATAGAGAAGATGAGCCTGGGGGCTGTGCAGGGGTGATGTGCAAATTCGTGAAGCCTTCCATACTTTTATTTCACATTGCCTACCTGTATCAAAACATCTCATGAACTCTATAAATATATATACTTATTATGTACCCACAAAATTTAAAGAAACGAAAGTTGGCTGGTTCAGGCCTGCAATCCCAGCACTTTGGGAGGCCAAATCGGGTGGATCACCTGAGGTCACAAGTTCAAGACCAGCCTGGCCAACATGGTGAAACCCCGTCTCTACTAAAAACACAAAAATTAGCCAGGCGTGGTGGTGCACACCAGTAATCCCAACTACCCAGGAGGCTGAGGCAGGAGAATTACTTGAACCTGGGCAGCAGAGGTTGCAGTGAGCCGAGATCGTGCCACTGCACTCCAGACTGGTCAACAAAGCAAGACTCCATCTCAAAAAAAAAAGTGGTGGGAGAGAAAGTTCAGGCCAGGCACAGTGGCTCACACCTGTAATCCCAGCACCTTGGGAGGTCAAGGCAGGTGGATCACTTGAGGTCAGGAGTTCAAGACCAGCCTGGCCAACATGGCAAAACCCTGCACAAAAATTAGCTGAGGGTGGTGTAATTTAGCTGCACTTGCCTGCAATCCCAGCTACCCGGGAGGCTGAGGTGGGAGAATCACTTGAATCTGGGAAGTGGAGGTTGCAGTGAACTGAGATCGTGCCATTGCACTCCAGCCTGGGGGACAGAGTGAGACTCGATCTCAGAAAAAAGACAGACCTGACAAGACAAAAGCCACAGGGTTTACTGTGCCCCTAGAACCTCCAGGATCTGTCCCCAACTCCTCTCTGATGCCCTCCTCCTGCTCCTCCTCAGTCCCTCCACTCCAGCACCCCCATCCCTGCTTCTCCGGAGCTCCTCCGCAGGCCCTTTGCACAGGCGGCTGTTCAGCCAGGCCGCTCCTCACCGGGACCTCCCGAGTGTCCTCCATCATCCCCTTCAAGTCCCTGCACCCAGGTCACCTTCACACGAGGCTTTTCCTCCCAGCCCTGCCCCTTCCCTGCTTCACTCTTCAGCATAGCTCTTCCAGCTCATCCTCTGATACACCATGCGTTTCTCTTTGTTTATTCAATATCCATCTCTCCACTTGCTCGTTTGCAAGAAGCAAGATTCCATGCCAGATTCCATTCCGACTGGCTCTTAACCACTGCACATTAGGGCTCCAGGTGGCTGTGCCTCCAGGGAAGCGTGCCACCCACACGGACACCCACTCTGCCCCAGCTCCTGGGCTCTGGCACAGAGGAAGGTGTCAGCCCTGTGCCAAGGTTTCCCCACCTGCTCCCCCCAAATCCTCAGGCACTGACTGTCTCCACCTGGAGCCGGGTATTCCCAGCAGCCTGCCCCCGGCTGGCGGGCGCCAGCTCCTGGCAGAGAGGCTGCTGTGTAATTAGAAACTCCGCAAACTCCCTAATTGCCAGTTCTTCTCCGCGGGAGGCTGGCGCTATTCTGAGCTGCTCCTGTTGCCGCTGCCCAAGACAAAGAGAGAAGAGACCAGGAGCAGAAGCAGGCTGGCCTGGAGGGGTCCCTAGGGAGGGCCGGTGAAGTCAGAGGGGACCACGAGTTGGAGAACGCCTGGAGAGCGGCCAGAGGCCCAACGTGGCATGGAGCAGGCTGCTGCCCCTGCTGGGCCCAGCGTCCCTCAGCACAGCCCACCCTGTGGCTGCCTCCCTGCCTTCCCGGCCTGTCCCTACCCATGCCCAGAATGGTGATATCAAACCAGCCAAGCCTATGCATTCTTTATTCAGGTGGCATAAAAATCCTACAAAAACCTTACAAAAGAGCCTCAAGGAGCCTGTGGGGCCTTTCCTGCCTCAGTCCCTGAGCTCCTGTGCAGAGGAGGGAGACAGGAGAGGAAGGAAGGGAATCCCGGCAGTGCTGGCATCTCAGGGGCCAAAGGCGTGGGTGGGGTGGAGGCCAAGGGGCGCTGGGCAGGTTAGGCCCTGGCCAGGCTGTGCAGGACCCGAGTTCCACACCGAGCGAGCCACCCCCAGGGCCTGTTGCTCCTTGCCCTGTCCTGGGTCTCCTGGGACAAGCCCAAAGGCAGCCCTCTCCCCCTCCCTTTCTCTCTGGTAAACAAAAGTGGGGTGTCCCAGCTGACCTGGGGGGCAGCTCACCTGTCTCCTGGGAGAACTAGAAGCACACCTCCCTCCCTCCCACCCAGACCCTGGCATAGGACACCCTCTGGGCTCCTCCCTCCCATGCTCCAATGCCTGCCCTCCTCCCGGCCCCCCACCTCAAGCTCCCCAAGAGGTGTCAGGAAAGAATGGCCTCTCTCAAACTGTCCCCCCAGGCTCCCCAGCCCCTGCCCCAGTGCCACAAAGCAGGTTGGAAAAAGTCACATGAGTGGAGAGGCTGGTCCAGGCCAGGACTCTGGATGCAGTGGCCACGGCCCCTCACTTGGGGTTGTGAAGCTGGGGGTAATCCTCCTCAAAGCGGGGCGCAAGTTTCAAGTCGGGACCGAAGGCCTTGTCCCGGCCTGGGGGGGAGTCCTTGCTGGCCGGGGAATCCTGCTGCTCCCTGGGCTCCCACGGTGCGCTGGGGTTGGGGTTCTTCACGCTGCCCACGAAGAGGGGAAGGCCCATGGTATCCTCGAAGATGAAGAAGAGGAAGGGGCGGTTCACACTGAAGGAGGACACGGACATGCGGGACATGGCGATGCTGGTGGCTGCGGCTGCCTCCACGCCGACCTCGCCGAGCTCCAGGGTGGACTGGTGCTGCACGCCGGACACCACCAGGCTCTGGTCGGAGATCCCACGCAGGTCCGGGGTCTGGAACAGCTCCTGCAGGCCTGCCCGGGGCCAGAGACCGCTGGTCAGAGCTCGGCTCTCAGGCTCCTGGAGCTGCTTGGGAGGGTGTCTGACATCCTGGCCAGCAAACACCTTGAACTCACAGATCCCGGCTTACTTCCTATGTAATTTCCAAGCCTCAGCTTCAACACCACTTCCTCTAGGAAGCCTTCCCTGATCTCCAGCTCCAAAGTCCAAGCTAGGTACATCTTCCGTGTCCTCCCGGGTGAACTGAGAGAAGCCCTCGCTGTCTCATCACTTATGCAGCTGTAGGTACCTGATTATTCGTCCACCCGCCCCATTAGACTGAGCTGTGTGTACTGGTGGGGTCCCAGTGCCTGCTACAGTGCCTGGGATACAGCAGTTGCCTAGCAAATGGCTAAAGGATAGATGCTTTATTTATTTATTTGTTTGTTTGTTTATTTATTTTGAGACAGTCTCACTGTGTCGCACAGGCTAGAGTGCAGTGGCCTGATCTCGGCTCACCGAAACCTCTACCTCCCAGGTTCAAGCCATTCTCCTGCCTCAGCCTCCCAAGTAGCTGAGACTACAGGCACCCACCACCACGCCCAGCTAATTTTTTTTTTTTTTTTAGTAGAAACAGGGTTTCACTATGTTGGCCAGGCTGGTCTTGAACTCCTGACCTCCTTGAACTCCTAATCCACCAACCTTGGCCTCCCAAAGTGCTGGGATTACAGACTTTAGCCACTGCACCCAGCCTAATGCTTATTTATTTATTTTAGTTATTATTATTATTATTTTTTGAGATGGGGTCTCTATCACCCAGGCTGGAGTACAGTGGCGCAATCCCGGCTCACTGCAGCCTCAACCACCTGGGCTCAAGAGGTCCTCCTATTTCAGTCTCCCGAGCAGCTGAGACCACAGGCATGCACCATGCCAGCTGATTTTGGTATTTTTTTGTAGAGACGGGGTTTCACCATGTTGCACAGGCTGGTCTCGAACTCCTGGGCTCAAGCAATCCACCAGCCTCAGCTTCCCAAAGTGCAGGAATTACAGGTGTGAGCCACCACACCCAGCATTTCTTTAACAGCACGACACCCCAGCTTCTCCTCCCTCCCCATCCAGGACAGCTGGGGAGGCTCGCATGCCACCCAGGCTCTATCCAGACTCTCCTTGCAATGCTTGGTCATGGGCAGCAAGGCAGATCCCCATTCACTGGTCACCCAATATGCCCTAGGGGCCAGGTGTTCATATTCAACCCTCTCCCACTCCCGAAGCCCTGGAAAAGAGCAGAACACAGGCCGGCTCTGACCCAGCCCCACTGCCAACCACAGGCTTCCTCCTCCCCCACCCTGCCTAGCCTGACCTCGGCGGCCGGCCTATACCCTCCTCCTTACCCAGTTGGCTGAGGATGGCCACCAGGTCCATTTGGTGTTTCAGATACAGCTTAGGCAGCCAGACCTTGGTGGGCCTCTCCCACACCGAGGGTGGGTGCAGGGTGTCCCAACTCAGGTTGGCCAGTACCTGGGACACGTTCCATTCAAAGTGGGTGGGTATGAGGACCACAAAGCTCATGTTGTTCTTAAAGGGGAAATGAGCCACCTGCAGATAAGGAAGGGAAGAGCCTGAGGACCAGAAAGTGCAGAGCTGGGCAAGGGCGAGCCAGCAAGTGCTCCCGCACCAGGCAGACGCTGGGGCTGCTGGTCACCCTGCCGGCCTGTGCCTGGACCGCACTACACTTCCTCTGCGAGGCGGAGTCACACCACCTGTCCACTGCAGGTGGACATGGAACTGAATGAGATGCTTTTAAAGTTTCTAGCAGTGTGGCCGGGAGGTGGCTCACACTTGTAATCCCAGCACTCTGGGAGGCTGAGGTGAGTGGATCACCTAGGTTAGAAGTTTGAGACTAGGCTGAGCACCGTGGCTCACGCCTATAATCCTAGCACTTTGGAAGGCTGAGGCGGGCAGATTACCTGAGGTCAGGAGTTCAAGACCAGCCTGGCCAACATGGTGAACCACCGTCTCTACTAAAAATACTAGCCCAGCGTGATGGTGAGAACCTGTAGTCCCAGCTACTCAGGAGGCAGAGGCAGGAGAATCACTTTGGCCTGGGAAGCAGAGGTTGCAGTGAGCCAAGATCACACCACTACACTCTAGCCTGGGTGACAGAGCAAGACTCTGCCTCAAAAAGAAAAAAAGAAAAAGTTTGAGACCAGACTGGCCAACATGGTAAAACCCCGTCTCTACTAAAAATACAGAAATTAGCCAGGCATGGTGGCACTG